AAAAAAAAAATACAGTTTAAGGGGTTCTCGGATATGAGTCAGCTGTTGGAGAATTTTGAGATAAATACTGCTAGTTTATGCTATTTTTTAGCTTACAGCAGATCTATCTTGACCATATATATAAAAAAGTTTAAGCAGGGCATAAGTAAACAAGGCAGTATCTCAGATCTAGATTCCAACATAATCAATTTTCTTCCACCACTTCAACAGCACAGCACTGCTCTTGCTGAGCAAGCCAGCATGTGAGCTCCGTATTGCCTTCAGTTACCCATCAGCCTCACATAAAGCACCTCATAGTCTAATCCCGAGATGACAATGGCACAGGTAGATGACTACAATTTTCTTCACGTTGCAGCTGCCACATCAGGCACATGCATGTCGAAACTTATCTTTGGCCTCTAACGGCTCCTGTAAGATCAGGGATCAGACCCCAAACTGCGAGTGTGATCGAGATACTACATCCATACTCCCTCAGGCAAGGCTATTAAGCTTGAGCCTGCTCTTCCCGCAGTGCCCAGACTGTTGGTGACATTTGGTCAGCCAACTACTACCAACCCATTTATTGGCCTTAGATAGACGACCCTGCGCTATTTTTCTCCCCATTCTACCAAGATTTCCATTGATGTTGTATTTCCCTAAATTAACTTACTACCAATCCATTTATTGGCCTTAGATAGACCCTGCGCTATTTTTCTCCCCATTCTACCAAGATTTCCATTGATGTTGTATTTCCCTAAATTAACTTCCTAAGATATCTTAGAAATGGTGGTGAAGTGCATCAGCCAGGCAATAAAGACCAAACAGAGAGACTTTAACTGGCGAAGATAAGGAGGAATTGCATCTTATTTTAAAATAAATTTAGCAGCAAACACATGTACTGAAGTTCACTACCAGTGCTACAGATATGACAAGAATTTTTCTTGTTGTAAAGAGATTTTCTATAGTAGTCATGAACAGTGACTTAAGTTCATATGAAAAGTGGTAGGATATTTTTATTTTTACGTCTTTAAAGTATAGTATTTACTTATTCTGTGCAAGGAGTTTAAACTGCTCTGGGCCTTTCATTCCAGTCTGAGACGCTGTTCCAATGGAGATACACAAGCTAAGTAAATGAGACTCCCACCTATTTCCTCCTCTTTTGCCAACAAGCATCAATATAAAGCTTTTTTGCCACTGCCTCTTACTTATTGCATCACTTGTTTAGAATTTTAAAAAATCCTCTTGCTCCAATGGGCATGAACATTTTTCTTCTGGCATTTGACTACCCAGAACAATGGAAGAAACTTGAGATAATTAGCTTACATACAGACCACTTGCTCAGACATCAGCAATTACATCAGCTAAACTGCATCAGCTGCTTATGGACATAAGAGGACATACATCAAATTTAAAGAGGGAATTTCACCTAAAATTTGCAGGATCATAGGGCTAAAAAGGAGAAGAAAAACAGGTCTGAAGTAATATTGCTTTCATGACTTTTCATACACACAGCCCACTGCTTCTACCCAACCAACTAATCTGGTGTCCTAGAGGAAGGGGGCATAAGTCCAAAGTATCCATGCCATTTATCTTAGCAATTTAATCCTTTCAAACCAGAGCTTTTTCACATAAAGTTACTGCTGAAAGAGAAGACACTGAATTTCTATTCATCTTCAGATTAGGCAGGACACATTCCTAGGTGATTCAAAGAGCAATTGAGCCTTTACCTCGCTTACTTTTACAAATCACTTTTTGGGAAGCTTCCCATCCGCTAAAGTAGCGGAGGCACCGGCAGCCCATCAAGATCCCATATGACTCCCAAACAGACTTTGCTGCCAACAGTGGGATCAATGCAGGCAGTAGGCACTAAAGCTGATGTCCTTTCCAGCAGAGGAAGAGGAAAGCCTTTCAATATTTCAAATGTCCTACCATGAAATAGTTCAGTTAGGGGTCCTAAAGCTACACCTTATCTTTGTTCACTTTCTGATCTATGCTATTGAATGAGAAAAAGCAAGGATATGAAATACATACACAGGAAGTAAACTCAGAGCTAACTGGAGCTAAGCAAGCAAGTGGGCTGAACTGTCTCCTCCACAACCGGACAGAACACTTCAAAGGTTCTGAAAATGAATTTGCTGCATACAGGCCCTTCTGCCACTGTTACTTACAAGATAGACTAAGCACCCTGAAGCACGAGCAGTCTCTCCCCACAGCAGCTTTTTAGTTCGTAATTCAAAACAGCACTCTATATTACCTTGTCAGCTACTTCTCTTTTCAAGCTTAGTGTCAGTAATGTGAAATAAAGGCAGCTAAAAGAACAGAGCATGCAAGCACATAGAAAAATATACTAGACAAAACAAGCTACATTATCTGTTTTTGTAGCATCTTCTGAAGCTACTTCAAATTATCTGCTTAGTCTTCCAAAGCCACAACTTATATAAAGCATAAGTGCTTTGTGTAAGAGATGATAATGAACTGGTTCTAACTGAACAACTCAAATGTACTTAAAATTGACAGGAGTGAGAGGAAGGAAGGAGGAAAAGTTAACAAAGCAGAAAGTGTTGACATTTATGTAGCAAATGTAATACGACAATAAAGGAGGAGGTAATATGGAAATGACTGAAGAGAGAAATTGGATTTGAAAGGAAAACAAACCAAAGAACAATTATTTTTTTGTGTATATGAAAACTATTCCGGATATAAGAAAAGCAGGGGGGGGAACTGAAAGGCAAAGAGGGGCGGGGGACAGGAAGAAACAGGACCAGAAAATGGGATGGACAGAAGAAGGAATGGAAAACAGGATCAGGGGTATGAGTCTTAAAAGACAGAAAACAGAATTCCAAGTTCACTCGAAAAACTAAAGCCAGTGGCTGACAATTTTTTAATTGTAAGAAGGGAAGACAGCTGTGTAACAGATTGCAGCAGGACAACATATAAGCTGTTGTGACAAATGGATGTTCTACTATTGCAGGTGAATAAACAGTGCAAGTATTTTGAGGTAGGGCGGCTGGCTTCTCAGAGCATATCAGATTGGAAATAAAATAAAAAACCGAAACAAAATGAAATGAAAACACAGCTCAATTTTGATTTTAAGAAAGGCAAAGAAGGGCATCATCTATACAGAGAAGGAATGAGTTGGAAAGATTACAGGTTCTCCTAAGTAACCAAAGGGGAAAAAAAAAAGATACAAGCCTAAAACACAGGTGAAAAAAGTATGGAGCCTGCTGCAGGCATTGTTCTCTATGAGGCATGGGATGAAGGGTGAAAGATGACAGTATACAACAGAAGGAACCTTTTTTTTCCTTCTTTTAAATAAAGAGACAGATGAGCAGGAGAGCAATACCTGTTCAGAATCACGAGCTCAAGAAAAGGCCTCTAAGAGTGACTGACTGCATTTGTCAAGCAGCATAAATAAGAATAATGTTGGAAAAGACATACTAAGTAAGCTGATGACTTACAAGAGTTCTCAAGAAGAGCAAAGGAGATATTTAAGAAATAATTTGCAAGTACACTAGAAACAGAAATCAGAAACAAGGAAAAAATAAAGTCTGACAAGTCTCAGTGTCTTTTATCATGTGTATATAAAATACAGTTTGACTGCCACAAAAGCAAAGCAGAAGTTGTACCAGGAAGGCAGAGAGGTCATTCTGAAAAATCTAATTTAATTACATGATTTAAAGGCATTCATCTCTACACACATTTCCTTCTATTTTTTACTAATAAGACCTAAACTCTGAAGTCACCATTCCCCCATTTCTTTTCCCCATACAAGGAAAAAAAACCAAAAAACAAACCAGAAAACCCTAAAAAACAAACCACATTGCATGGCTACAAATGGGACTCTTGGAAGTTAGGTATGAATGGAATTCCACCTTACCTAGAAATGTATGAATGATAAACAGACTTAAATTACACCTAAATGGGAAAAAATTGAAAGGAACTGTCAGCATGAATGAAAAGTGAAATGTACAAAATAATACAGGAGGCAACAACTATAAGCTTCCAAGATACCTTAATCTTTTTTCCTACAGAATACCAAATCCTTTAAAAGGATATTTGATACTTAGCACAAATATACTTTGACTCAGAACTAACATTTTGTTTCTCAGCTGTCCCGCTTTTTCCCATTACAGGTACACCACTGCATTTTGATCCTGCAAAACACTCATTTCTGCCACTCTAATCCTGTTTGATCAATCTTTCCACAAGACAGACCTTCTTTAGAATACAGTATTTCTCATAGAAGAAAACCAAGCTCAATTCTTGATTCGGTGACAAAAAGCATTCACTAGTGATACGATTATGTATATAAAACTCTACGTCAGAAGAGTGACTTGTTAAGCTGCTGTTAAGACTTTCATCCAAAGATCAAGCAGTTTTGCATGTCTTTCACTTTTTCATCTGTGCCTTTACAAAAATATTAAAAGCTGACGTTTTAAGAACTAAATGAACGCAAGTCTGTCATCACTGCCCCAGCTTCACTAAACGTAAGCATTAACTTTACCATGACTGAAGGACTGAAAAATACCTGTCAGAAGAAGCACTAACCCTTAAGGCTGAATTTTAAGCCAGGTCTCGTAAAGTTTAAAATTCAAAGTTGGGGACTAACTTTTTTTGATTTCTAGCTGAGTACAGACATATGGAGTCTAACCTGCAGCCATCAGGACAACCAAAGAGAACAATTCTAAGAAAAAGAAAATAAATAAACAAGCTAGTTGAGACTTGTCAGACTAATTCTAAGTTGAAGTCCAGCCACAGAATATTTGAAATAAGACCTTTCTAAGGGAAAAATATATATCATTATTATGCAGAGATACCATTAAGTAGTAAAGGCACACAGTTTGGAAATTATCTTTTTCTTGGTGCAGGCTGGAAGACAAAACCTACATTTTCTCAGTTTATGGAAACATTAACTTTTCTTTTACGAGCAATTTGAGTGCTGAAGATGATGAAAACATTGCAGTCAGAAGCTAGGGTGGGTTTTGTTTTTTAATAATTTATTACTCTTTTCACAAACTATTATAACCTTAATTACATTGCTCATGATTATAGTCTGCATTATGACTAAGCACACAAAAATCCCTACCTTAGGATCACTCTCTGCATCTTCCTCTTCTTCTCCCTCCTCTTCCCCCTCCAACTCCTATGACAAAATAGAGATAAACTAACAGAAATTAAAACAGGTTAAAAGGGCAACTTTTTGTAATGGAGAAAAAACAAAATAGCAAGTTATATTACTACTGTATTCCAGAGTGTTTTAGATGTCAACATTAGAACTACTTGGGCTAACTTAAAAGAATTCAGCATCTTCAAAATCTTAAAGCAAAATCTTTAAAAGAAGATTTAAAACATAGATTTAAAAGATTCAGCATGGCTTAAGGCAATCTTCCTACATAAGCTGCTGCAGTCTGCCAGTGATTTTTTAACTTCTACCTGACCAAAAATTATTTGGAATTTTGCAGTTCTGGTAATAAGTATATATGTCTAATTTTGTTCTTTGTTTTGACCTCCTTCCAAAGAGTCTCTGTTTATTTGGATTACTGTGGACAGGCTATGTATTCCCGCACAGTATTTTGCAATATTTTCACACTCTGTTGTACACATGCCTACATCCAAGTAATAACATCTGGCACTGGAGACAGATTAAAAATACACATATACTTCTATCGAGACCCAGCTTAAAAAATAAAAATAAGAAAATGTTTAGCCACTCAACAGCCTAAGCCCAGAAGTCTGTATTGTAACTTGCAAAGAGAGAAAAGAGACTGCATGCTGAAGGCTGCCAACTCACATCAGACCACCAGCTCGGTAACTTCTGATGTACTCTACTATGGTGAACTTGATGACAGTCAGGTATCTTTTAACCAATTAGCAAGAACACCACAGTAAAAGCAGTAAAATAAAGATATAATTATCTGTAAAGGATATTAGTTCATGTACGTGTGGTATCATTTAGTGGTTTTGCGCAAAGCCTTTTACACGCTGTTTGTATTCATACAACACTACTGTAAACGGGCCGGAGCTCTTGGTATACTAGAAATTCCAGCCTAAGTTAAGCCTTTATCCTGAGCAGTTGCTTGCTCTCCCTTTTTTACTTTACATTTAGCAAGGCCCAGTCTTCAAGCTTATGACAACTAAAAGCTGACTGCTGAATTCCACTACTGCCTAAGTAAGAGATATTTAAAAATAAGACTGAAGGTTCTTATCATGCAGCATTCAAGAAAAAAAACTTGTCTTTAATTTTTGACTCATGTCAGAAAGCAGCTTTAAAAATACTAGAAAAAACTGGACGAATGTTCTTGCAGAAAGTACTTTTGTGAAGAGGAAAAACAGCCATAGATTTTGTAAGTCAGGAACGCTGAACTCTTTTGGAAAGACGTATCATACACAAGAGCATTTATGAACAACTGTTTTCTGCTCCATATAGGACTATTTCTGGAACTAGAACAGCAGTAGGTAATGTTATCTATAAAAGATACAGTATGCATCTCACCTCCTCTTCACCTTCTTCACCTTCTTCAAACTGAAAAACAAACCCAAGGTTTTATTAGCTCTGCTAATATTTGCATAAAATCTTCTGCAGTAATAGGTCTAGCATATTCAAACACAGTAACTGAAACTAAGCCACTTCCAGAAGTAAGGATTAACAGCTCATAGCAAGTTGAAGATACTTTCCTATTCCCAAGTAATAGGAATCTCTTCAGGTTTTTTGTTATTCTCATGTAATTAATACCACATACTAGTCTGATCAGAAAAGAATGTTTCTGTCTACATGGTGATGAATAAACAAAATGCTGATAGCATACATACGTTATCATCATCCTCTATAGCTTCCCCAGTGAAATAAAGCACAGCACGAGGGACTATCCTTTCACGGAAGAAGTGTCCGATCTCAAAATCTGCTGCTAAAGTAAACTCTGAATCTTCATCCTGTAAAGCAAGTTGGTTTGATTTTTCTACTAAAAATGTGATGTGCTACAGAGGAGCGAACAAAAGTATTTCAGAGTTAACATGTTTGAGAAGCGTCACACTGTCATCAGCATCAACCTTCACGTCACTTGTACTTCCAGTATACTTAACTTTGTAACAAAAAAAGAAATATTGCAAGTCTAAATCCAGATTTGCAGAATTGAGATTTATTTTAAAAGTTTCCTACTTTCTACATAAAGGCTACTGGCCTGCTGAAACACTTTCTACTAAAAAGGCTCATACAGACTTTGCTGGTTCTGACACCTGACGTTACAGAATTGTTCAGACTGCTTCAGACTGATTTTTAAAAAAAAAAAAAAAAAAAATCAGGTATCAGCCACGCAGTAGTGCTGAGTTCCTCTTCTCAACAGTGATTGTTATAGATATATCGGATCAGCAAGATGTGTAACAGCAAAATGTCAATGGATTACTTGGAGAAGTCAACAATATCTTCCATTTTATCAAGATGAAGCTCAACTTTTGTCAAAGTTGGCAAAAATAACAATAAAAATATACAGAACTTAATCAAAAGAACCCAAATAGTCACTATCGAGATGTTTAGCAAAAAAGATATGGCAAAGAGCAATTGTGCAATTTCATAAATGTAGACTTACCAATGACTCTCCATCACCAGATACTGCAAAAAGAAAAGGCAGTAAATTTAAGAAAAGTTTGTATAGTCTAGCCCACATCAATTTCAAGATGACAAAACACAGCATAAATAAAGGCCTTCTCATACCAGAAAACACTGGGGTTTATAAAATCTTCAGAAGCTAACTATTAAACCTTTAAAGACAATTCAGATTTATCCTAAATTAAACCCACAGAAATTGCACTTGCGAGAATTTTATGTGCTGTAATAAAAGCATCAAAGCTGCCATTTTGATGTCAAAGATTTTTTGCACAAGAAATACTTTTTCTACAAAGATGGGTTCCGAAGGCACGCAGATCACATTTCTCCCCTAAAAGAGCAACACATTTTGTTTCTATATTAATGCTGTAATTACAATAACTTTATTTTGCTAGAGCACTACAAACCCTCTCCTCTCCCCAAACACAGATGCTACCAAGTAGATCAACATTTTGTCATGAATTTGCAAAGCATTGCTAAGAAGAGGCCTGTTACTGTAACCAATAAGGAACAGGGTGGGGTTTTTTTGTTTGGTTAAAAAAAAAAAAAAACACCAAACAAAAAAAACCCCACAACCACCACCAAAACCCAACAACAAAAAAAACCAGATTCTCCTCCTCTACTCAGGTGCCATGGTACTGTGATCCTACTGTGAAAGTGACAGTTTGGGTCAGTCTGTTCTCAAGTTGAAAATGCAACTATCAACTGCCAGCAGATGTCATAGTCTTACTTTCTTACACAGCTGCCTCCAGAGTATGTCCTTTAAGTATTTTAAAAAAACAATATAAAACCATCATGAGGCAAACAAATCTCCATCCCCTTCTGCAAGCAGCAACTACTTGTAACAAAACAAAACAAACAAACAAAAAAAAAGTTGTTTAACTTAAAGGACATTTCTGTACCAAACAAACTCCAACTTTGGAAATACTTATCACTTGTTTTTTATCCCCATGTACACAGGGATTTGCAGTGGTATTTAGAAGGGACAGGTAGTTCGTAATAGCCCAAGACTGAATCAAGAACTAATGTCCATTTTGTTCAGTATATCTCTGAAGTCCAAAGAAAACTGCTTCTTCCATCCATGTTTGGGGGGGGGGGGGGGGGAAGTACAATGGGAGATGTATCAAGAAGAAATAATGTTTTTGGAATCCATCTAAATTGTTTTAAATATGTGAGTACACATCTAACATTAGATAACTCGGAAAACTAGAAAGGTATGTATGGAGCATTAGGGATCACTAATCACAGAAGAAACCACAGGAAGTTCTGTCACTTAACACAAAGGTTTAAATGAAACCGATATGCTAGAACGTGACCAACACTGGAAGAGATTTCTTTCACATGTTAAAAACCTCAAATTGATGCATGGAGCCATCCTGTGGTAAAACAAGTCAACTTCTTTAGGAGATTCTACATGAGACTCTTTCCATACTATGAATCCTGTTTACACAGCACACCTAATGGCCAAGTTCTACAGAGTAGTGTCAGACAAAATGATCTCTTTAGATGAGCTGCAGTTTGCTATCTTCCTCTAGTAAGAAGAAAGTTTACAATGCAGCAGCATAAATAGTTTGTACAGATTTAAGCTGTATAAATACAAATACATATAAATAAAACACAACATATTTTAAGAATCCTAAATTCTCAATTTCCAAGCTTACCCTTTATTGGGCTGAAGAAGTTAAAAAAAGAATCATTAGGTACTTGTTTAGTAATTGTCCGAACTGTGCCTCGACCCTTGTGTTTCTGTTTTTTCTTGATTGTTTTAACTGTAACATTTTTTCCTTTCTTCCAGTCAATAGTACACCTAGAGACAACATGTGGGAAACAGCATTTTAACACAAGACATCGGTGAAAATAAGGAACTGAGCATTAGAGCAACAAACATCAAGGCAAAAATGACTTATCATTCACTAGATAAAGCTAGTTTTATACACACTGGCAACCGAATCTACTTGACAAGATGTCAAGTAGATGCATCGTAGTGCTAGAGACTACAGGTATGTTGGACATATCAAATATTTCCCTAAATGAAAAAGCTGAATAGTTTGTCTTCTCAGAGTAATCACTGTCCCCACCTCACCCATACTTTAATACCTCTTTGCCCCAACTACTGGAGTTTTGTAACCAAGGACATGATTAAGCTATTCCAGAAAACTCTCAACAGTTGAGAATTATTCTTCCAACGGTCGGACCAGTAGAAAACAATACGTTACGTCCTCTCACTACAGGCCAAGGCAGTGTCCAGTTACCCTAAAAACAAATGCACAAAGAGTGACCAGGGAGAGGCACATTTTAGTTCTCCAAAGAGCAGTGCTCAGACTGACTTGGCAGTCAAGTACAGCAAACTAGAAAGAGCTTACTTTTCAGTTCCTTTCAGCTGCTGTGCAAACTGACACTTTCATCTCAATTAAGTCTCTCTCCATCCACCTATAGTTTTACCCAAAACCGCACACGGCAAAGAATGAGTGGTATACACAGCCAGTTCTCTTCTAATGGAAATAATGGTGTCACAGTAACACTTAAGTGCCTCAAAATATCTTGTCCTATAGATAAATGGTCAAAGTCAACAGTTTTATAGTTAACCTGCATGAAAAGTCACAGAAATGTTTTCCTGCTCGCCTTATTCCAGCATCTATAACCTTCATCAGGAAACATGAACTGAAATCAAAGTTTTGACATACCAGCAATTTTAGAAAGGAATTCCTCTGTAAGACTTAAACAGAAAACATTTTGCTATAATTAACTAAAGTTTTCTTCAAAATGGACTAGCCTTTTACTTGGGCACTTTCACTAAACATGCAAGTAGACGTTTTGCCTCACTGCGGGTGAATACTCAATTCAAAAGCCAACATGTAGCACTAAAAGCCAAAAACTTTTGAGGTTGTCAGGGTACCTTCAAGAAACCAAGTATTTGGCATTTCTTAAGTATTAGTTTAAAAAAAAACAAAAAACAACAACAAAAAACCCAACCAACGACAAACAAAAAAAATCCCCTCCCACCAAAACCCAAAACCACATCCTTGGGCGGGGGGGGCGGGGGAGGGCAGCATGGAGAACCCCACACAACAGAAAGGAAACACCAAGGAAGCTAAGAAAAATAAGGTACAAAAACATTTTTCAGTTGTGTCAGCTCTGCTCTGGTGTGGCACTGAACGTCGGTTATAGAGCAGAGATCACTGATAGGAAGAGAAAGCGTTAGGTTAGACAGAACAATTTTACCCAATGTCGTGTCCAACTCACTAGACTTCCAGAACAGAGATGAGAATTCACCATCCCACAGTCGGTTTCTGAACACATTTTGCCAAAAAAATTGCTGCATTAGCCACAACTGCCAGAACCAAACTGCATGGCCAGTATGTTCCAGCCTCAAAACAGGCTGAAAGAACAGATCATACATATGACCAATTCCTGCCAGATTCAAAAGTACTGCTGGAATAAAAAATACTGAGATCAGCAAGAGTCCAAGAGAGTCTAAGGCTACTTATCAGACTGAGGATGGGAGTCTATGAAATGTAATGACTAAAGTGAATTTACCCAGTTATCTGGAAATAAAAGGCTTGTTACCTCATTAGTAATCTATTAAATTTGAAAGGTGTAAGATTTAAAATGCACACTATGTTAAAACGTATCTATATTTATGTATCTGTTACTTCTGCACGCTGAGGCTAAGATCATCATCATCATCCCTACAAACATTCCCAGTTTTTAAGTCAGCAAAAGCTTTAGTTTATCTTCATTAATCATTATCACAGTAAGAGAAAACAGCATCTGGAAAACATGGACTATTACTTCAGAAGGTTTTTTTAATGTCAAGTTTTCCTTACCCCTCACAATCAACTATTTCAGGTCCTTCAAATGAAAAGGGATCTGTCTTGTCTGGCTCCGACTTCATCTTGTATGTTTTTGTCAGGACTGAATTAGAAAAGTAGTCATTGGGCCCAAAGTGGAACTCTAATGAGAAAGACTGGAAGAAAGTTCCATTATAATTTTATGTTACCACTAATTTTTATCTTTGAAATAGTGTATAGGCAGAATTACCATTAATCAAACTCTGAATACAGGAAAAAATAAGAATTTGGTGACAAACATCTTTCAAACTACAGCAGAAGCAGGAAATGAAGAATGTCAACCAATTCTGAACGTGCAGGAAGCTAGAACAACCTTGGCTAGTATTAACATTCAAATCATAATCAAGTAATTACTACATTTAATTCACCTTTACATACAGAACTGCTGTCTCAAAAGCAACCTTTTAAGTACATACTTCGAGAAAAGTCTTTGTTTCATTTTTTATGGAAGCCTAGTCATCATGTTTTGACTAGGGATGATGAAGTTGTTATTCTGAGGTCATTCTGACATCAGAATAACACCATCAGGTTCTGTTACTCCCCCCACTCTGATCATTCAATGTCATGATCTTAAGAGACTGAAACAGACTTTATTTCTAATTCAAAAAATTTTAGATTACAGGAGTCTGTATTTAAACAGTGCACTCCATCATGAACCAGAGGGGTTTTTTCCATTTGATAATAGAAAATCCCGCAAAAGAACACCAACTTCATAAGCTGAAGCCTAAGATTATACATGTCTTAACAGGTTACAGCCTGAAGCAGGTGTTTCTGCTTATGTTTGAGCCTCCTGTGGCACCTGAAAATTGTTTGTGGAAATTCAGTTTCTCACATGGAGAACAAAAGGCTCCAGTTATGGAAAACTGCAGCATACACAATGCATCATTTTTCAAATCTGTAAAGCTTTCAAAAACTGCTTGCACAACACTATATATGCCCACTTTGCATTCACAATCAACTATGAACTATTTAAAAGTAAAATAAAACTCCAACTGCCTTGGAACAGGGGAAACAACAAAGGTTTTCAGCAGCATTACTTTAGTTACTTGAAGAGGGAAAATGTCTGCAGGTCAGTTCAACAACACAGAAGGGTTGAAAGTCAAAAACCCCAACATCACCATACCTGCTGCACAGCCACAGCATGCGTTAACAGTTACCTTAACTATTTTATTTACTCCCCCAGCAATGCGCCATAAGGACTAGACCTAGTGTGCATACAAAACAGATTAGATAATTGCCAAAAACACTAGCCTTGAATATTCCCCAGGCACTCTTCAGACTTAGGCCAGAACATGGTCTGTTATCACCCAAGTGTGCCCTGACATCCTCTCTTTCTGAAGGCCCACCACGTGCAGACAGGATAAATAACTCTGGGGACAACAGCATGTTCAAAGGTATTTATCCCTCACTATCTCCCTAAGGCCCTTTAGTGTTTCTAAGACCCCATGAATCTCCTCGCATGACTGAAATCTGGAAAGATAGTGGTCAAGGAGCGATGGGAGACTGGTGGCAACAGCAGCCTTCTCAACTCACATGCTCACAGTTTAAGGGAAGGAATCCACTGGGAACCAGAGGTGCACTGAATATCTGTGTTGGCTTCACATAGCCTATTTCAGTTTTACTTCCATTCTAAAGCAATTGGAGACAGCTAATATAGTTTGGAGTGCGTCTTCAGCTAAGGCAAACTCTCTGGCAAACGTGCTCAGCGGAGGAGTTTCAATCTTAGCTTATCCACTACCAGTGATGAACACTCATACCCAAATAATCTCACAAATCATCACTGGGGTTATAAACAGGTAACCAGTGGCACTACTTAGCATTCAAGATGCCAAGGACTAGCAAGACAAAAATATCTGCATTTCAGTATTTCATTCTATACCTGCTAACTAGGAGACAATAAGAAGCTTCAAGTTTCACATACTATTTGAAGTGTTGTAATAACCTTTCCAGTAGTCTTTATTTGGACATCTTTGCTTTTGATATCAGCTTACCTTTGTAGCATGCATTTCTAGATTTTTCCCTGCAGTATGAGATGTTCTCAGGAAGTTAAAAAAAAAAAAAGAGAACTTCCTTATTTTAAGGTACTTACTTAAGTTATACCCAGATGCATCATCCAGGTCTGAATATGCTAGCTAAGGTTCCTGATGTCCAAATAGATATATAAGTAGAAATTATTTTTATACTAACATATGTAAGTTTATTCACATGATTATAAATAAATAAAAACAAATAGTAAGGGAATCGCTTATGCTTCATACAGATAAAAGTTTATATATACAGGCTATAGCAAACAGAACATTGAAGCACCACTACTGTAGCCAGGTAAATCTACTTTTGCAGGACCATAACTACAGTTAATTACTTTGGGTCAATGGTAAATCAGAAAATTCCTAACTATCACGTATTTCTTTTAGCGGCAAAACCTAATCCCCAGCAGAATTACTGTGTTTATTACACACTGGTTATGTGAACTTTCCATAGTACAAAGCTACCACTGCTGCACCGATCTTCAATAGCCAGAGAATTTCAGACAAGACAATCAGACACAACTGGATAACAGGTTTCACTCAAGCAGTTAGGAATGCATCCTTTTGTCTCCAAATACAGAAGGGACATGGAATTTGTCAGCCTTCCATTATTGGATTTCACGTAGCACTGGAATGGAACCTATTCACAGAAATATGCTGTCAAGAGGTTACGAACAGTGCAAGACAAGATAAATCCTCCACTGATGTTTTAAGAGCAGTTCTTCAATTTAAGGTACTGTAAAACAAAGCTGAATGAGAACACAAAAATGCTGTAGGCGAAAACAACTATTCCCAAATCATCCAAATGCCACTGAATAGATATGCTTCAAGATAAAAAACACCAACTTCTTAGAACACTTTACTTTGTGCTTTAACGATTCATTTTCTTCATAAAACTCATATCCTCTCCTTCAGCCCTAGCAATATTTAGGAACTTAATTCCAATTTTTCTCTGTCCTTACTACTTCCCTTGCCTATTATCAGCTCAAGTGTTTTGGTACTAGTAGGAGAAAGACAATGAGAACTAGAAAACTTTGCTTCAGCTGTTATTAACCTTTAAAAGGTATTTTGAGAAAGTCCTTCCATCTTTCTTATGTGAATCTTCAATGAAGCATTTCTTGCACTTATTTTAGACTTTGTCAGAAAACTGTAACTCCACAAGACAAAACAAAAAATACCAAACATAAAGAAAAGGCGACAAGGATGGAGTTTAAAGAAAGGATGTGTAGGCTCAAATCCCATGCTTCTTCCTGCCTCCCCCTCAGAATGAGTTCAAGGAATAAGTATAGTCTGCATGAATTAAATAAGCAACAGAACAACTTTTCAACAAACACAGTATCTGTTTCTGTACACTGAACTTAAACAAGAAAACAATTTCCAAAAAAAAGCAAAGTTGTATTTTAAAAATTACCCACTAGGTACACTTTTAAAAGACCATCTAATATATTTTTCTATCCTTTTCACACAGTTTTTGATTAATATTACTAAGTCACATCTCTTCTTTTGATGAAATATTCAATATAGTAAGTAGCACCCAGAATTTTTTCCACGATTCATTTTCAAACCAAAAGCAGCCATGTAACTTTAGTAGTAAGAGTAGCTAATTTGGAATTTGAGAGAGAAGAAGAAAGTGAAAACTAGACAGAATTGAGCCAGAATTTTAATCTAGAAACTACAATGATGTCAGACATGTCCAGGCTAAGGATGAAAGAGCAAAGGGTCAGGAAAATTGAAGATAAATCTTTAAAAGGCAAAGCATGAAGATATCAGCCTGGAAAGAAACGCCCCCCACACATTCCAGCCGAAGAGAATGCAATGAAAATTTTGAAATACTGTTCACTTCATTACTACAATCTCCATGAGAAATCACCAGAGAAAACTCACCATAGGCTGTCCGGGTTCAGAAAACTTAACTTTAATATCCTGCAGATGTTTCAGGATCGGTTCATCATACTCCTGGGGGGGGGGTGAGGGGGAGGT